AGAAAAGGAGAACAATCGGTCCTGATGAAAAAAAAGTAGACCATGGGTAGCCAAAGGGATTAAAAGAACAGGCCGGACGATAGTCGCTCGAAGCGCTCCTAGCTTTTACTGTACACGTCGGTACAGGTCGGCAAGAATAATGGGATGGGAAGGGCTCGGGTGGGGGGGAGAAAGTATCCTTCTGCTTTATGTATACAGAGGGGGCGGTAAATAACGACTGAAAAGAAATAAAAATAAAAAAAAAAAAAATAAAAAAAAAAGAGGAGGAGGGAAGATCTATCGCGACGCTTCTTTCTCTATCCCCCTTCGCTTCCGCCGCTCTTCCTCTCTCTATTATCATTACCCTTTCTCCCTCCTGTCCCCCTCACCCTCTCTCTTCCTCGGCTCTCGTCTCACTTTACAGGACACACGGGCCGTTCACTTTCTCCCTCCTGTTTTTCTTCCCTCGGCGTACCCTATACGTGTACTCTCGTCGATATTTATTTCCTTATTCCTGTGTGCCGTTAGGGTCGTCGTTACGCACCACACTGGTAATGCACAATATACCCATATTATACGAAGGGGCTCCTGTTCACTCGGTGATATTTCGATTTCGCGCCCAAACAGCCGTTAAATACCTCGTGTACCGTATAGTACAGTGGAAGTATTTTCGTTTAGTACGTGTATTAGTACGGAGTCACAGGGGCGAAAGAAAAGGGGAAGTAGTGTGCGTGTGTGGATATGGGGGTTGGAAAGGGGGGTGAAGGAGAGGATGGCATTTCGACGATTTGAAAAGAGCTCTCGGGAGCTATTTCGAAGCCGAGAGGACGGAAGGAGGGACGTTTAAAACTGGGCAGTGGCGCGCTACTGCGAAAACGACCCAATTTCGAGCCCCCACCCCCAAACCCCTAACCCCCGGTGTACCCTTTCTCTCTTGGATACTTTTTCGAGGATGTTGAGCTGCGAAAATCGAGAAGCAAAAGGATACCCTCTCCCCCTCTTCCTTTTCTCTCTCGGTGAGTACTACCAATCCCTGGCTTTGAGAGTGCCTCGTTTGAAATTATTCGATGGCTCGGCTCTTCTTCCTCTACTACGCTTTTTTCTTCCCTCTCTCTCTCCATCGCTACCTCATCGGCTAAAAGGAGCTTCTTCCAGCAGTACTTATTATAACGGAATTATTGGACGGAACTCGAGTTGATTGGATATTCGAGGCCTGGGCAATTCAACTATGGGTGCTCGAATTTACTTTCACGTCGATACACGGGGGTGGACGGTACCATTGAAAGCGCTTGAATAATGAAGTGCTAAAAATACAAGATGCATGGGAGGGTATTTTTTTTTCTTTTCAACTCTCAAGTGAAATGATCAAAGATGGTTTTGGAGGAAAACATAAATAAACAGATGCAACAATAATGAATACTTTGTCAATGAACGATACGCATATTTACGGAATGACTGGAAAATTCTAAAATTGAGACCCGATAACTTTCAACAGCCTTGTTTATATTTTTTTTAAGAAGACAAGACTCCTATATTTGCTATGTAGGCTTACAGTCGAGGTGTCCAAACTGCTTGGAGGGATTGACTGAGGACTTTCAGTGATTTCAAATAACGTGAAAAGTTCACAAAGAATGTGGCTCTTGACTTTCGTAAATTATTCGTCATTGAGTCCAAATCCGAGGAAAAAAATACCCAACACAAAGAGCTTGGAAACAAAGGAACATGCCGTGCCTTCCTCTTTCCGGGTAGATCGAACATACCCGCGAGAAAAAAAAAATGGTAAAAAGTGGGGTGCGGCTTATCCATACGTACGTGAAGAAAGTAAAGGCGCACGGGAAGCGAAAGAAAAATAGGGAGAGAGAGGAAAAAATAGAGTCAGCGGAAATGACGAGGCTCGGACTAATTCGCGGGAATGAGGGGGTTGGCGTACATCGTGTGCGCGCGGGTGGGAAGCAACCGCTCGAGGAAACAGAGGAGCATCGAACCATTTGTAATCAGACCAACCCTCCTCCTTCCCGGTGGATTTTCTACCACTACCATACCTACAATTCATCCCTTTTCTTTTTTTTTCATCCCTCTCCCTCGCCAAGCTTCGCATCCGCTCCCTTTTACTCCTCAACTGGTCTCTCTCTCTCCATGCTCTATCAGTCTGTGTCTTTGACTAATAAGGAAATATCGTTACCACTGCCGTTTCAACCCCCCCCACCCCTCTATCTTCCTCCCCCTTCGTTTTCTCTGGCGTGGAACTTTGCCAAGGAGTTAGCTAAGTAATGATCCGAACTCGGAGATTATTTAAACCGTAGGAGGACGCGAATTCTCCCTCGCGTATACTTACACGTGAAACTTAATTTACGTCCCATTGGTAAATCACGCGCGAGATCAATTGAAAAGCCCACACCCCCCCTCTCCTCCCTAGAGATTACTTGTAAAAGGTAGCCCAAAATCTATGTGATTAATAATCCGTAAATAGCGAGTGGTAAGGAGGGGTGAGGGAGAAATTATAGACCACCGTATCCAAATTTCTATAACTACGAGCCGATACGGCGCATTTTTCACTTTTATTCCCGACCTTCCGGCTCCCATTTCTCCGGTGGAGCTCGGAAAATAAAGGGAGGGGGAAGGATCGCCAGAGGTGGAGGACAACTTGTCCAACGCATCCTTCCCCGCGTTTTTTTTTTTTTTTTTTCCTCCTATTTGTCTCTCTCGGTTTTACTGCGCTTTCCGGGGAAGGGGGACTCGGTTTTACGGCTCGTCCGAGACGCGCGCGCGTGTCCGCCTGGAGTAACTGTCCCGCCGACTGTTACCACTGCTCTCTTCCGTTCTTCTTTAACTCGATTTTCGGCTGTCCACTTTCGGCCTCGATAACGACGGCCATCCCCTCACGGTCGTCGTCGAATCGGATGTTCTTCGCCGATGATCAGGCGGAGCTCTGGAGTGGAATTTTTTCGGGAGAACCTTGGCCATCACGTGCACTCAGCAAATGCTAGAACTGTGGAGGAATTCGTCAAATTTTGTTTTTTTGTTTTTAAGAGAAGGAGCTAGACTGATTTCAATTTGTACCGTCACTTGGGTCATCTAATCATCTAATTTCGCAATGGAGTACATACGTAGAGCGATCCTTTACGTGTAGGCCTGGCTCCTTACCCGTAAGGTATTATACTGATCTTAGAGGCTTAGAGAGCCAGATAACAGTGCAATCAAACGGCAGCTTGTAAATAACTTGCGCGTCAATCTGTAAATCTAGTATCGTTGGAAAACTACACGTAAGTACGTTGGCGGGATCGAAGGAGGAAAAGAAAATCGTGCATGTTACGATGGCGATGATGTTGCTGACATACAAATACCCGTGTGTAGGAAAGGAAGACACGTATAAATACACAGCTCACGCAGGAGAGAGAGAAGGGGTGGGGGAGCTCTCAGGGGACCCCATTAAATTTGCAGCTATTTATTTAGCGTTGCGACCCGCTGTGCTGCCACTACTGTTTCTGGTAGTGGTACCCACCAAGCTGTGCTCACCCACGTAATTCACCTTCGGACAGTACTATTTGTATGTATACGCTCCACGTATAGGTACACACGCTGATGTATTAACACACACGCATGCATACGTGATGCAACGCAGATGCTGCTGTACACCCCTTGACACGCGTATAGGTACCAACATTTATGCACCGGGCCGGGCAAAGAGGTGAAGGGGGAAGGAAAGGGTTGGGCTATGTTTGTCTTTGCCCCGGCATTAGGGCCCACGAGGGTACAGAGACTCGCCCTAGCTTTTGCTCACCGTGGCACTGTACCATCCGTGAACGGAGCGGCTGTACACACACACACACACACACACACCTGTTTTCTCCGTACTGTAAAGTGGAGGATAAGGGTGCGCACGCGCGAGAGAACAGCTGAAGGACGGTACGTGACGTACGGTGTGCGTATGCAAGCAAAGAGATTGATCTTTGATGGTTGTTTGCAATGAATAGAAGGATGGAGTGCTTGGAAAATGCGACTCTGTTGGTGAAGATTGTTGTTGCACACATGTGTCTGTCTATACTGAAGGAGTTTCCTTGAAACGCAAAGCGTTCCTTTTTTTTTTTTTTTTTTAACTTTACAAAAGCAATCATTCGCCACCCATCCATTTACGCCAAATTTTTTTTTTTTTTTTAACTTTTTACAAAAGCTTTTGGATTAATAATGTTGAAATGTTGACAATTATTCCGTAAGCGAATACCCATAGTTTTTGTAAATGTTCGAGCCAATTGGATTTCACTAGCTTGTGTCGGTGTAAGGGAAAATCTTTTTCGACATTGCAAAAATTGCTGTCAACTGTGTCTGATATGCTCTTAAGTGGTTAAAAAGAGAGTTTAGTTGTGCCCAATAATATTATAACATTTTTATAACTAGGAAAGACAATCAGGAAAATTTTTTAACGAAAGTACATTACTGGTCAAAAAATTTTAAGTACTACAATTGTTTTTAGTCAGACCGAAAAAAATTCTAACATGTATTTGCGTTTGAATTAGTAAAGAAAACGAATCTGTTTCTACTCTAAAGAAATTGGTGTAAGGTGTACCTCGTACCATCTAAAGTGATTAAATGAAGAGCTGAAACGCTTGTCAATAAAAATACAAGTAGTACAATCGTTTTTAGTCAGACCAAAAAAAATTCTAACATGTATTTGCGTTTAAATTTGTAAAAAAAAAAAACGAATATGTTTCTACTCCAAAAATGGTGTAAGGTTTGCCTCATGCCCTCTAAAGTGATTAAAAAAGAAGAGCTGAAATGCGTCAGATAATATCTTCGAATTTTCGTTATTATGAGTAAAAACCAGAAAAACTTGTCAACGTAATGCATTTACTGGTCAATCAGAATACAAGTAGTATAATCGTTTTTAGTCAGACCAAAAAAAACTAAAAATTTTGTATTTGCAAAAAAAAAACAAAATAAAATAAGTACACAGATCAATCCCAGAGTGTAAGCATGTAAGAACGACTCGCTCTAATTCGCGCCTCTGCGCACTTCTGTTTCAGAACACTACCATATATTCGTCGGGGATCTGAGCCCGGAGATCGAGACACAGACCCTGAGGGAAGCGTTCGCCCCTTTTGGAGAAATCTCGTAAGTTTTACCTTCTACTTAAAAGCCTCTCATTAGAGTCAACTTCTTCCCCTCATCCCTCTCCACATGTACCTTGCTCATTTTTTTCTTCTCTTCCAACTGCAAGCTCGCTCGCCTACTCTACCCTTACTTCTTCTCTGCAAAAGCTTATGCTCCCATCTCTATCTTTTGTGTTCCTTATTATAAAATAAAATATATTCTTGTACCATGAATTTTTTTTTTTTTTATTCATACGCTTTGTAAGTGAGTGAAAATAATGCGTGCTTTCATCGTACTAGGTAGTAAATTTATACTGATTTTAAATTTTTAATAATTTTAAGGCAATTCAAAATCATATACCTATCAACTACGGGATTGGGCTGAAAATCAAGTAAATTACAGAACAGAGCTTTGCGCGTGATGGTAAAATATTGCAATGGAGAAACTTTACGAGGGAGCCCACGTTCTTTTTGTATTCGGGGTAGGGGGAGGGAAGGGGAGATTCGAAGGGTTCATTAATTATGAAAGCTCACCGCATCCGTTCGACGTAACTTATTGCTAAGTCAACACATTTTTTTCCTCCTCCTTTAAACGAGTTTGAGAAATCGCTTGTTGATGCTTGCCGCAAGAAACTCATAATTTTATCGATGGTACGGCAAGAGCTGGTGAATAAAAATAAACAATAGGGCCTTGCTTGTGTTTTTATCCCGTGAAGCGCCAATCAAAGTTTTCGAAATCTACAAAAACACCTTCCGTATCTCTTGAAATAGGTTGGAAAATAATCATGATTATTTATGAAAATTACAAAAATGGGTTGGAACTCATTCAGCAAGAGTAAGTTGAAAAAAAAAGATTGTGAGCTTCAAAAAGAGGTACTTATTTTAGTCAGGACGGAGTTTTTAATCAACTTGTGGTTACTTTCCGTTGATTGATACGAAATACGAACGATAAAACTCCCGACTATTTCTAAACCTTCTTTGATCACGTCTCGTGCAACTCAAATTTTTTCATTGTCAAATAACATTGAAAATTCTGAGTTGTGCTATTATACGTGGGAGGCGTCGATGTACGCAATGTCGCGAGGGTTGGAAAAGAAATGGCGTGCGGGGGATAAACAAAAGGAAAAAAAAAAAAAAAAAACGTGCAAGTTCACATGCAGCAGCAACGTTTTCCCAAGGAAAGAGCAAAAAACAGCGAACGAAGAGATTACGTCACTCGGAACAAAGAACCCGTGAGAAACGAAATTCACCCGCCGTGCACGCCGTCAACTCCAAATCGGCAAAGCTCAGCGGCATATCATAACAAGCGATCGTGGCACGGGGTAAAAAGGGGGAGGGGCGGTAAAGTAAAACTCCAGTAGGCAGAAGTGGAGAGGAGGTGCACGAGAAACTCAGCCGCTTGTCAAGGAGCAACAGCGCGCGTGGTTAGCAGCTCTTTCACGTGTACTCCGTGTGTATATGTATACAACTCACCGTTTCTTTTTCTCTCTCTCTCTCTCTCTTTCGGTTTTATGGTTCGTGGCCAACTGGTGCGTGCGAAGCGATAACGAGCTAACGACACTTTGTGCCCAAGATGCTTGTTTTTTCTTTCTTCTCCCTATTTTTTTTTTTTTTTTTTTTTTTTTTTTTTTCATTTTACCTACTCTTACTGCCACCCCAACCCCCTTTTCACCCCTTTGCAGACTCTTTTCGTGTCTTTTTTTTTTTTTTTTTTATTTTAATTTCAAGGGAGCCAAACTAAAGAGGGAGCATCTTGGTGTGGAGCTTCTTCGGAGTGTAAAATGCCTTTTCGAGGTGCTAGTCCGATCGATTGCTTTGAGAGCAGAGGGTGGGGGAAGTTGGAGCAAAAACACACTTTGCATGGACTTTTTTTTTTTTACTTCTTCAGGCTCTCGTTATTGCTGCTGCCGTTCTCGCGTGTACCTACTCGAGAAACAGTGAGTTTTAATCGTGGATAAGTGTGTAAGCGGATGGGAGAGTGTTGTGTTTTTCTACTGTTACCAGCGAGTGGAAAAAAAAGGAAATTAAAAACTTGAGCTTGACGTTGCCTGTAATAATGAGTAAGGGCTCGAGTCGTGTTAATTTGGCCTAGAGATATCAGAATTGGGAAAGCTTATTATTATAACCATGGGTGTACGACTAGATTTCGTTAACAGAGCAAAAAGCAAAGGCACGGAAGAGTCGTCTACTTTGGAAGTGATACAGTTAGGAAATATTGCATTTCTCGAAGGAATTGTAGTGCTCGCCCTATACTTGTTTGAAAAATAATAATTAATTTCAATATAAAAACTTTAGGATCAGCTTGAATAAAGAACTTATAAAANTTGCTCTAATGGTGCTGGTTACTCAATCGGCGGGGACTAGGTAACTCGTCGCGCCGAGCATCGGCCGTGGATTGGTATTCAGCGAGACGTTTTCCTGAAGGTTCGGCGTTGACTTCTTGGCAAGTCCAGATTTCGCTCTCTCTCTCTCTCTCTCTCTCTCACTAGGATCTCCGTCTTTCTCTGCAAGGACGAAGGAGGGATGGAGTTTTATCCCAACTTAATTGTAGTGCTCGCCCTATACTTGTTTGAAAAATAATAATTAATTTCAATATAAAAACTTTAGGATCAGCTTGAATAAAGAACTTATAAAACTATTCAACGAGTATTTTACAAGTAAGTTTTATATTGAGGTACATTTTTTGTTCTGGTGTAAAAAAGTATGGTATACATAATATATACATACAAAGTCTTAGCTTTTTGCTTGGATTTGATAAAATACTTACTTGAGATTATAAGTTACTTGTAAAGTTATTTGCTGGCTCTCTGCTAATAAAACATTTATTTATGTTTATTGATGAAATGAGAACTGTGGCTCATGTAAAAATAATAATAAATGACAATCAGGTAGGAGTGGCACTTTGCACGCTTTCATATGATCATCACATTGTGCAAACATTGGAGCTCGTTTTCCACTTGAAAGCAACTAATTAATATTTCATTCGAAATTAATATTACACGATCGCAAACACGCGAGGAAAACATTGTAAATTAACGCGCAAATCGAAACTTTCCGAAACAAAAACAAACAAAACTCCCCAAAGGGTCCCCCTCGAATTTCGAAGTACAATCGAAAACTCCCTCTCCACGCACAATACGCAAACTCCCACGTGCAACGCGTGTAATAACTCAAAAGCCAACTCCCTTCCCATCCCACCCACGGCTCGCTGTGTCAAACACTCTGATAATACGTAATTACGCGTCCGTGCTTTGATGTAAATACAAAAAAAAAGAGTGTCATTAAAAAAAGTAACTCGTTATCGATGCTTCGAAAGATGAGATCAATCAGAGGGCTGAGTGTAACAAAACGGGGAGGAGTCGCCCTGAAAAAGGGACAAGGGATCGAGGGTAAGTGGCGGCGCGAGTAGCCCAAGAGAAGGAAAATAATAATACAAATGGAGGAGCTGAGGCAGGTGCATCAAACGGAGGGGGAAAAAGTTGTCTCGGGCATGATAGCAGCTGGAAAGTTTGCCGAGGAGACGAGGGAGTCTTCAGCGTTGACTCCTTGGACTTTTTTTTTCGTTTTTATTGGAATATGTTACTGTGACTTGGAATGAAAAAAAAAAAGGAAATGTATTTTTATAAGCATCGAACGAAAATATGTTCTCAATGGACTAGAGCAAAATTAATTTTCAATCCTATCGTTGTTTCTCCGTCAATTACTCGCAAGATTTCGATGTTTGGGTAAGCATCAACGTGAAATTGACAGCGACGAAAACTATCGAAAGCTCCCATCCTCCCATGTATACGTGCGTTGGCAACCTCGAAGTAACTCAAAACACACGTACCTACATCGACTCCATCGCTCGTACACGTATACTACTTATGCGCTCGCGAGGAAAAGGTAAGGAAGGAAAAAATAACGACAGCAGTCAAGATGCAAAAGGAAGGAGGGGGAGGAGCCGCGTGTGTGCGCTTTGAGCAAAAAAAAAAAAAAAAAAAAAAAAGAAACGAGGTTGGTAGCAAGGGAAGCGGGGGTAGAAAAAAGGCGGAAGGGAGGAAAATCGATTCGCGGGAGCACGCGCTTGCCTTTAAAAAGCTTGTAAAAAATTGCCGGTGGTTTTTCCTTCTTTCTTTATTTTGTTTCTCCCGCGCGCCGTCGTCCCAGTAGCTGCACCAGCACGCTCGCCTTTCTCTCTCCTCCCCGCTGTGTATCCGGTGTAGTGCTCTTATTTTCCTTTCCCTCATACTTTCTTCTCCGCTCTTTTTTGCACGCCCACCTGCAGCTGTACTCCCCACCCCCACCCCCCTTTTTTTCCACGAGCCTTTGCTCAGCAACCCTCACCCTCCCCCTCCTTTTAGCGTTTCTCGTTAAATCTCCTGGCTCCCGCCTGAGCTCTTTTTTCAGGTTTTTTCTTACCCCTCCAAAGCGAGATCCGAGCAATTAAATTCCGACAACACAAAAGTTGCACGGCCGATCCTACTGATGCCACTGCGAGGCCCTCGTCCTTTTCCCTGACTCTATCTCTCTGCGTACGTGCGAGCACAAATGTGCGTCTTTTCCTTTTTCTCACTTTTCTTTTTTTTTTTTTTTTTTTTTTTCAATAACTAGTTAGGTTATTAATCGCTATTGCTTACTCGCGTATAGGCACATTTTTTTTTTTTTTTTTTTTTTACCCTCCAAGGCAACGCCTTCGAAATTAATTCAGCCTGCGCTCGTGATTTCCCGTCCTTGTTAAGCAAACTCGGCTCTTTTTACTTTTTCCAAAAATACAAATGTTCAATGATGCGCGTGTCATCTTCGTCGTCATCTCTGACAACGTGTCCTACTTGCTATTTTCGGTATGTAGTATCATCTAGCATGCTTTTTTCCCTCCCATGGAAGGGAATTGCCGAAACAACGAGATAACAAAGTTTCAGAAAGTGCGCCTTATTCCATGTAGCCATGTAAATTGGGACGTACAAGTTCACCCAACTGGCTACTCGTACTTTAGTCATCACGTCAGCCAATTATATTTTTATGCTAAAAACTAAACCATCC